ATTTGCATTGCAGCTGCTGGATTCATGTGTATGCAGTTGGCATCCTTGTACATCTTCCAATCCATGAACATGTTATGTCTTTGTATTTATTAGGCCTTCTTTAATGCTTTTCAATAAAGTTTTATATTTTTATCCATAAAGAGCTTACATTTGCTCTAACAAAATAAAAAAGATTTGCTGCTATTATAAACGGTACCATGCCGAATATTACAGTTTCCAAATGTTTGCGGCTGGTATGTGCACACTTTTTTTTTCCTTATAAAGAAGGCCTGGAGATTTTATTTATTTGTACACATTTTACTTTTTTCGCTTTTTAAAGATGAGGATTTCAGGTGTCTGCATGAGCCCACCCTGCCCCGCTGAGAGGCAAGGTGGTCAGCTCATGGCCAGCAGGGCCCTGTTTGTGCTCCCACTGCCACCCCTCCTGTGTCATTGTGGAGTGGACCACCACATCCTCTCATCCGTCCACGTTCTGTTCACTCGGAAAGGGCGCCCCTGAGCGGAGCCTCCAGTAAAGCAAGGACTGTGCTTAGAAGCACCGTGGAAGAGAGGCCTGGCCATCTCTCACAGAAGAACTGGCAGTTGGCAGCCCTGTGGGCCCAGTCCTGCTCTGAGGCACATCGAGTCTCCATGAGCCAGAGTTAACTGGGGAGCAGTTGGCTTTATCTCTAAAATGGAATGATTCTTCTTTTTTTTAAGTTTCCCCCCATTCTGGTATAGTAGATAGAAGAATGTGTATCCCATTTCAGCCTTTTCCCCCCGTGTGTGAAATTCAGTGACAGCGACTACATTCAGTGTTTTACAAGTGCACCTCTTTCTGACTGTCTTCCTTCGAGCAGGAGTCCGGTGCTTCCTCAGCCTGGCTTCTACTCCTCCCACCCCAGCCCGTCACCTCTGAGGAGCTGTGGTCCTTGCACCTTTGTCTGTGCTGGGGGCTTCATAGATGTCCTACAGCATGTGCTCTCGTGTCCCCCATTGGGTCCCCCCTTGGATCCCCCCTTGTGTCCTGCCCTGTGACCCCCCCTTGTGTCCCCCATCATGTCCCCCCTTGTGTCCTCCTTGTGTTCCTCATCATGCCCCCCTGGTGTCCCCTTGTGTTCCCCCTCATGTCCCCTTGTGCCCCCATTGTGTTCCCCTTGTGTCCCCATCATGTCCCCCTCATGTCCCCCTTGTGTCTCCACTCTTGTTCCCCTCGTGTCCCTTTGTGTCCCCCTCGTCCCCCCTCGTGTCTCCCCTCATGTCTTCCTCGTGTCTCCACTCTTGTCCCCTTCGTGTCCCCCCTCGTGTCCCCCTCGTCCCCCCTCGTGTCCCCCTCTTCCCTCCTTGTGTCTCCCCTCGTGTCCCCCTGTGTCCCCCTCGTGTCCCCCCTCGTGTCCCCCTCGTCCTTCCTCGTGTCTCCCCTCGTGTCCCCCTGTGTCCCCCCTCATGTCCCCCCTCGTGTCTCCCCTCGTGTCCCTACTCGTGTCCCTACTCGTGTCCCTTCCGTGTCCTGCCTGCTCCAGCCAGCATCATGTTTCAAGGTTTCATACACATTTCATAGATCAGGAGGTTGTTTTCTTTATGGCTGAGTTGTGTTCGTGGAAACCGTGTTGTGTTTTCCAGTCAGCTGTTGGTGGACACTGGGGTTGTCTCCACCCCCCGGATCCTGTGACCGCTGCCATGGCACACATCTGTCTGCACCTGCTTTCAGGTTGTCTCACTTCAGGCCAGACGTGTTGTTGCTAGATCATGTGGCAATAGCTGGGTCACATGGTTGTTGTTCAGTCACGTGGTCTGACTTTTGAGCATACCTAGAATGCCATCTTAATAGTTGGAATTTGGCAGCAACCACCATGCTCGACATTGAGGTTTTCACCTGCGTCAGTGGCGCTGCGATCAGGAAGCACAGGAGACTCTGTGAGCCGTCGGCTGGTCCATCCTTTACCTCTGCCCTCAGCCGCTATCCCCCTCCGTCTTCACGTCTTTCTTCTCTTGAAGTTTGTTGTTGTTAAGTGCCGTCGAGTCGCAGGCGACTCATAGCGACCCTATGAAGGAGAGTCCTCAACACTTGGGTGTCTCTCATCCTCTCTCCAGGTTCATAGGGTTTCTGGAGGCAAGCTGTTACAGAAGTGGATGCCACTCCTGCTTCCATGCTTGTTTTAATCGGGGAGCTCCACCCCACTCTTGTTGAAAACACTGTGGAGTTTTCTTGTAGGGGGTCACTGATATTTTTGCACTGATTCTGTATCCAGCCATTTGGCTAAACCTTTTTTAATTCATCCTGATGGCTGATCTGTGGATACCGAAGTGCTGCCTGCATAGATAATGTCGTTCGTGCCCTGAGGAGCTGTGCCTCTCGGGGTCCTCTCGGTGCGGGTCCCTCTCCCTCTCCCTGTCTTCTCGGTGCGGATCTCTCTCCCTCTCCGGGTCCTCTCAGTGCAGGTCCCTCTCTCTCTCCACCTGTCTTCTCTGTGCAGATCTCTCTCACTCTCCTCTCGGTGCAGGTCTCCCTCTCCGGGTCCTCTCGGTGCAGGTCCCTCTCTCTCTCCCTGTCTTCTCCATGCGGGTTTCTCTCCCTGCCCTTCTGAGCTGAGCTATGAAGCCATGCCTGTGTCTCATGAGTCTGTGGAAGATGCCGTGACCTTTCTTGAATATTTTGACATTTTGCTGTAACTCCATGATCTTTGAGGTAAGGTTGCTGACTCCCAGCTCAGTTTCTGTACTTGTGGTGATGCGGTGGGCACAGCACTCCGCTGCTAACTGAAGTGTCACAGTTGCAGCCCTCAGCCACCGTGCGGCAGAAAGAGGGGGCAGGGAGGCAGTCCCCCAAAGATGAGAGGGAAAGCCCCCTGGGGCAGTTCTGCCCTGTGCTGGGGGCCCTGCCCTGGGATCCACTAGAAGACCTTGGGTTTTCTCTTGATTCAAGACCTATTCAAGCCTTCTATTTCTTCAGAGTCAATTTTACGGCATTTTGTTTTCCTAGAAATGTGTCTGTTAAATAAATGTAAAAAAAAAAAAAGGCAGCCTCTTCAAAAGTCTTTCTTGAATGCATAGCAAGTCACTGTGAAGGCCATGGCCTGAGTCAGAATCTGAAGGTTACTTAGTGGTGCCTTCTAGTTATTGTAGGAGCTCTGTTTGCGTAGTGGGTTATGTGTTGGGCTGCAACTCAGAAGGTTGGTGGTTCAAATCTGCCAGCTAGCTACTCCTTGGGAGAAAGGTGGCCTGTCCCCCCTCCCGTAAGGTGTGCAGCTGGGAAAAGGCGAAGGTTATCAGCGTGAGGCTGAATTGACGTGATGGCCCTGGGTGTGAGTCCTTATTCCTTGATTTTGTTTTAAAAAAGTCAACATTGAAAGATATTTAGCAATTTTGGAAGTTTTTGCAAAGGACTCACTTGGCTTTCTTGATCTTTTCTGTCACATGCTGGATTTTAGATTTGATTAATTTCGTCTTGTATTTTTGTTATTTTCTTCTTTTTTATTTCAAGCTGATGCTTTTCATTTTTCTTGCTCCCAATTTGGATGCTTATCTCATTAATACTCAGGTTTTATTATCTCTTAATGAAAGTGCTTGAGATGATGAATTCCCACATAATCAGTGCCGCGGTCTAGCACCAGGCATTTGGAATATGAGTATATTAGTGGCTTTTCAGTCCTAAATATTTTCTCGTTTTCACTATGATTTCTTTTTGGCCCAAGAGTTATTTAGAAGGTTATTTATAATTTCCAAACATATGTGTCTCTTTCTGGTTGTCTTTGAAGAATTATCTCCAAGTTAATTGTGTTTCCCTCGGGAAATGCCATGTGCCGTCCTGGTTCTTGGAGTGTGGTCCTTGGATGGTGTGGACTGTGGCTGGTGGTCTTGCAGACTTGGCTGTGGCCTCTCCACCCTCAAGGGACTATGGCAGTTCTGGGACCCGAGATAAAACCTCTTACAGCCTCCAGTCTCCAAGACTAGGCCAGTGAGAGCCGATCACCCAGAGGACGTGGTGACTTCTGCTGGGGGCTGTCTTGTTGGGTCAATGGCCAGGGTTGAATCTCTGGCAGATAGGAGCTGATGAGCCTCCAGGCAGAGAGTGGGCCCAGAAAAGACCCAGTGCTTTGTGGAAGCTGCTCCTCTTACAGAAACTCTCTGCCACTAGCAGAGAGGTTGGCAGTTCAGAACCCCCCCCTCCCGCCCGGCACTGTGGGTACCATGCCTGGTGGTCTCCTCCCAAAAGGTCAGGGCCTGAAGGTCCAGTGGAGAGGGTCTGTCTGTACACGTGGGGCTGTGGTGGGTTGCACCCACAGTGCTCTGAATACTGCTAACGCGGAGGTCACCATTGCCACCCCGTGGCACTGAGCTTGACTCATCCCTCTTTACCATCAAGTTCATAAACAAAATACAGCAAAGACCACCAGCAGGTGGCCTCCGGAGAGAACTCCTGTCAACTACCCTCAGACGATGCTGGCAGCCAGACCTGCCTGTGAACTGACCAGACACGCAGACAGCCCCCAGGTCCCACCGAGACAGAGGTGACAGCAGTGGAGCACTGCGGTCAGGGCTCTGCACGGTCACCCTTGATTGACCAGGGCTTCCCTGGAGTTAGGTGTTGCTTGTACCATGATTCACAAGGGAACACTGGGGGCATTCAGAGGACACGCACTCCTGTTCCGCACACAGGTGCGCCCCAGCACATCATTAAGTGGACTCACAGGTCACTGGGGGCAGTGGGACGCGGTTCTCTTCGGCCCGACCACAGTGCTGGGACAGGACAGGCTCACAGCCTTCTCGGATTCAGAAGTGCATTCAGGGTGAGGTGGCGGAGAATGGCCGTGAGAAAGGTTCACCTGTGTCCAGTGAGGGCAGATCCGCTTGTTCAAGGGCAGGCGGGCGTTGTCTGTGAGCTGGGTGTGCTAATCCAGGACCAGCCGAAGGCGGGCCTTGCCTGGTGGGGTGGTCACCTAACGATTGACTGATTGACTGTCATGTACCTTCCGCCCTTTATGAGCCTGCCTGCCTGCCCTGTGAGCTGAGTGTGCACCATGCTGCTGGGCCCTGAGGTGGACTCCAGAGCCCCTGTCACTGGACCTTCGGGTGGATTGGTGCGAGCGCTTGTCAGTGGAGCCTGGGGTGGGCCGTGGAGCTGGACCCTGTGATGGGCCATGGTTCTGGACCCTGGGGTGGGCCTGGCATGGCCTTGCTCCACAATTGCTGGGTGTGAGGTCTCCCTAGTGGAGCCTGTTGTGGCCCGTCCCGCTGGTGGACTTGAACTCCCTGGGCCTGGTCTGAGCCTGCAGTGGGTGCTGGGCACTCTGTGGACACATGTAGGGAGCATGATCATCTTGACTCCTATCCTGTTCCTGCCCTCTCAGGAGATGGCCACTGGGGGATGAAGAGGCCACGGGCACCTCAGTCTTTGGAACAATCAGGGTGCCATGCTGTGTGGGGGCTGTGTCCCACTCTGAGGAACAATCCTTTTGTGTCCATTACACATCATTGTCCGTCCCTCCCCAGAGGGTCACAGGGCTCAGGCTGACCGGGGCACTCTCTCTCAAGTAGAAATAGCACCTGTGGGACAGAGGGCCACTCTAGGGAGCCATACTGTAGCTCAGGATGGACATGGTAGTGGGGACCTTGCAGTGGTCATCACTGGGGTCCGGAGATTTGTGTCTGCCTTGGCTGCCACCCCCACCAGCCACTGGCACTTGCCTTCTTGAAACCACTTACTGTCTCCATCAGGAGGGACCCTGGAGAGAGGGTCATGCAGAGGGTGCAGGGTGTGCTGGGTTCTGTGCACACCTGTGTCCTCCCGAGCTCAAGGTGCTGTGGACGGAGGCACACCTGGGCTTGGAGATGTGAGGGGTGCTTCCTGAGGTCACACATCTCAGGGTGGCTAATTGCCTGACAGATGCGCCAAGAGTGTTTTTGGATAAACGAAGGTCATCTAAGTAAAGATGAAGTATGTCTTGTGGGTCCAGCCTGCCCTGGGTGCTGTGGACGTGGGCAGAAGGGGGAGGTTTCCATGATGTCACCATAGAAAGGACCTGTGAAATGTGGCAAGACCCTCACGGGCTCGGATCCTGCGGGATTCTGAATGAAGGTAGAATCTCCATCCCTTGGTCTCCGTTTTCTGCTCCGAGCATCATCCCACTCGCCTGGCCCCTCGAGCACTCTGAGGGAGCTCACCTGGTTTGGGGGACCTCTCAGGGAGCTGAGCCCAGATCGTGTCCCAACACCTGAACCTTGGGCTCTGTCGGCAGGCTTGGAGCAGGGCATTCCTAGGGCACTCGCTCTGGAGGGCTTCCTGGAGGCCAGGCCCTGCTGTCCACCGTGGCTGTGCACGTGCTGGCTGGGCAGTAACTGTGGCTGTCCTTACTGTCGTAGAGTGCGCCTAGTGTTGGATGGAGTATGGCATCCACCACTTCCCTGCCCGTCACCAGAGCGCAGCCCACAGGACCCCTGTGTGGGGAAGGACGGGGTCGGCAGTGGGCGTTCCCAGAGGCCTCGGGCCTGGAAGTGAAGTACTTCTCCTTGGATGTGGGGTAGGGGTCCCAGGAGGTCTGACTAGAGAGACGGTGGGATGCAGGTGGGGTGCCTTGGCAGCTCTGAGCTCAGAAGGGGCAGAGGCTGATGAGGGGCCCTGTGACCCCCATAGCTGTGGAGAGACTATGGGTGGCAGCCGGCTTGCAGCATGCGGGACTGAGGGTGCGTGGGACTCTGGACTTGGAGGGGGCTGAGCAGGGAGTGACGGGCCAGAGGAGGGGCTGGCGCCCTGGGCTGGGACGTGCGTCAGGGCTCATCCCAGAGTGGGTGTTCTAGCCCGCTGAGTGAGGAGATGGGAAGGTGGGCCCTGCAGGAGTGGGCGGTGGGGTAGGCTCCCAGCTGACCCGAGGCACATTCATTGGAGGCACATGGCCCTTGTCCTGTGGAGGCAGGTGAGGGTTGGGACTGGCCCCACTGCCATGAGGAGGTACAGGTGGAGACAGGCCTGCTTGGACCCTGTGGAGGAACTGGAGAGGAGGAGGTGGGTGCCGGTGGGTCTGTCACATGTGGGGGTGAGGCCTGTACTCACAGGGCTCCCCTGGTAGGTGAGGACAGGCTGCATTGTGGCAGGTTCCTGGGCACAGACCTTGGGGATGTGAGGTCCTTACCTGTGTAGAAATAACACCACTCCAGTCCAGAGGACAGGGGAGGGTCAGGCCCTCCTGAAGGTGCTGAGCAGGTGACTCTGCGTGGTCCCTGATGGGAGCCAGGGACACGGTAGCCCAGCCACGCAGCACCTAACCAGGCCAAGGCTCTGGATGTAGCAGGGAGGGTGGCTGTGGGCAGCGGTGTCCTGAAGCTGAAGCCAAATGGAGGTGCCATGATGACCAGAACAGCCACCACCCTGCTGACCGGGCCCCTTCAACACCCACCTTTTGGTGCCGTTCCAGGACCAGGGGTCACTCCCGAAGGCTGGACGTCGGAGATCAGCGCGGCCGCTGGGCCCTTGGGCCGCATGGCAGGGCCCAGTGCCTCCAGGGCCAAGAAGAGGAAACCCAACTTCTGCCCGCAGGAGACGGAGGTCCTGGTGGCCAAGGTCAGCAAGCACCACGAGCTGCTGTTCGGGACAGGACTGCTCAAGGCAGAGCCGGCACGCAAGTACCGCGTGTGGAGCCGCATCCTGCAGGCGGTCAACGCGCTGGGCTACTGCCGCCGTGATGTGGTGGACCTCCAGCACAAGTGGAGGGACCTGCGGGCCGTGGTGCGGCGCAAGCTGGCCGAGCTGCACAAGGTGGTCCCTGGACCCACTGCGGGCAAGCCCCAGGCCCTGAGCCTCACGCCCGTGGAGCAGGTGGTGGCCAAGACCTTCTCCTGCCAGGCCCTGGCCCCCGAGGGCACTGGCCCCGAGCTGCCCAGAGGTGAGTTCCTGCCAGGCTCAGGTGCAGGTTCCTGGATCTCCTAGCGAGCCGTCTGTGTCCGCTGTTGGGGCTGCACCTCCTGCTCTGAGGGGACCTCGCTGTCTCCCTCCTCCTCTTCCTCCTCTTCTCCTTCTTCTTTTCCCTCCTCCACTCCCTCCTCCCACCCTCCTCCTCTCCCTCCTCTTCCTCCCCTCTCTTCTTCCTCCTCTCCCTCCTCTTCTTTCTCTTCCTCCTCTTCCTCTCCCTCCTCCTTTCCCTATTCCTGCTTCTTCCTCATCCTCCTTCTTTTCCTTCTCCCTTTCGCCTTCCTCTGTCTGCACTGGTCTTCCCCCACTTTCTCGTCCTCTTTATAACCATCACCATCTTTATTCCCGTGTCTGCCCACCCATCTGTCCATTCTTGCACTTGATAAACACCTGTCAAGCACTGAAGGAGCTTTAGAAGAAAATCCTTCTCTTTAGCTTTTGGCTCCGCCCTACTTCTCAGTCCCTGAGCTGAGAGCCCAGCCCACACAGAAGAGCTAGAGGATTGGGTGTCATGGTCATCCAGTGAGACTGGGGGCCCATGACCCTTGGGGACCGACTGAGGCTGCGTCTGACCCTGTGCCTGGTGCACACAGCAGAGTGCAGGGGTTTGGAGACGCGCTTCCCTGCCAGCTGCTCTGACTGATACTCTCCTGTTCTGTCCTCCTAGAACTTCGTCCTCTGTCATTTGCCTGATCATGACCTGAATTTCAGCCTGCAGGTGGACATGTGTGTCCTATGATAGTTTTTCATCGAGAATGAACTCTTGTGACCCTGAAAAGTTGAGATGGGCAGATTGAGACTCGAGGGGAGAGTGCTGGGGGCGGGCTGTCCTCCAGGAGAATGGCGTAGCTGGGGGTCTGTGTTCTCCACTCAAAGTTCCCGGCCAGGCTCTGCCTGGGGACTGGGGTGTGGGGACCGGTGCTGGGAGTGTGTACAAGGAGCAGAGGTGCTGCAGCCCCTGGGCCACACTCAAGCTGGGGGACAGCTTCTGAGGCAGCCGCCCCCACCTCCACTGTTGAGCTGGACCAGGACCATGGTGCTGTGTCCCTGTACTGGGCTCTGGCCACAGGGAGATGGAGTTCTCTTGTGGAGCTGGCCAGGCTTGGCCGTGGCCAGAGACAAGGTGGGGTCCCTTGCTGCTTGGGCCTGTCCCTGTGTCCTGTGTGACTAGGGCCCATGATGACGGAAGAGTCAGCACCACTGGCAGCTATTCTGGTCTCCACTGGGCTGGGGGCGATGGCACAGTACCTGCAGGTGTGTGTGTACATAGATGAAGGCCTTGTGTGCGTGCGTGTGTGTACATACATGGATGAGGGTGTGGTGTGCAGGTGTGTGTATACACATGGATGAGGGCCGTGTGTGTAGGGAGGGGGTGTGTGTGTCCCCACAAATGAAGGCGTTGCCTGCAGGTGTAGGAGGGTGGGGGGTGTATGTGTCCCCAAAGATGAGGGTGTTTCCTGCAGGGTTAGGGGGTGGGGGGTGAGGGGTGTCCACAGATGAGGGGATTGTGTGTGTGTGTAGATGAGGGCAGTGTGTGTAGGGAGGTGGGGTATGTGTCCACAGATGAGGGCACTGTGTGTGTAGGGGGGTGTGTCCCCCACAGATGAGGGCGTGGCCTGCAGGGGGGTGTGTGTGTGTGTGCACACAAGGACGTGGGTCAATAGGGACCGGTCTGGGTGGGTTGGGGCCTTATCCAAGAGTGTTCTGGTTGTCTCCTCAGCAGTGAAGGGAGGGGTGACCACATGGCTCCTCTTTTTTAGAACTGTAAGAATGGTTCTAAATCACACTTCTTGCTTGGGGGTGGAGCCCCATGTTCACCCCGACCCCCATTCCTGTCTGTGTGAACGTGAGCCTCCTGGGAGATTGGAGAAGGCCTGGTGCCTGTTAGCATCGCGGCCATGCCCAGGGAGTAGGGACGGCAGTGTTACCTCACCATGGCCTGAGGAAGGAGCGTGGTGTCCACAGTGACATTAGTGGGACTGGAAGTTTCCACGCTTTCCCTAAGAGCTGGCTGGATATCATAGCATCTAGATCTCTGTGACTGTGAGCTCAGGGGGTCCCCCCAGCCTGCAGGGTGGTCCTAGTCCACCACAGAGGAGAAACTGAGGTGCTGTGTGAGGATTCAGCGCCCCGAAGACTGAGCTGAGGGAGAGCATGGGCCCTTCCTTCCCCAGGAGAGAGGGCGGGGTTGGCCCTCATACCCCCCTGAAGCCAACTGGGGTCTCTGGCCCTTCAGTCGGGGCCCCTGTCTGTGGCAAAGGATGGAGCAGCAGGCGAAGGGGTCACCAGGCCAGGGTGGGGACCTTCCTGCACGTGGCAGGCGTAGGCACAGTGGTTGAGGGTCTCAGAGGGCACCTCGTGCCCTTTAGAGCATCGCATGTGTGAGGTCGTCCCATCTGTATTCTGGCTGCTGTCCTCGTGTGTCCTTTTGACTCCTGGCCCAGTGTCCCTCTGCCCCCTGAGGCTGCTCGTCCACCCAGGGCCCATGTTTAGTTAGGGTGCTGACTTGATCAGGTTGGGGCACTGCATGCACCATTTCCTGAAGTATTCCCTGGCATGATTGCTGGGGTCGCCCAGGTAGAACTGAAGATGAGGAGGACAGGTGGCACATGGCCAGATGCTGTGGCGGGGTAGGGTGTCTGTGGGCTCCCCTCAGTCATATTGGGAATATGAGGGGGTCAGATGTTGGTCAGGACACTAGGAGGTGAAAGGTGAACAGACCCACCCGCCCCAGCCTGGAGGGGAGAGACGGTTCTGACCAGGCGGGCCCTTGAGTGGCTTCAGGACACTTGCCGTGGGAGAGGGTGGGTGGGCCAGGGACCGAGGGTTGGGTGGGCACGCGGGACGGGGAGACTCTGGGTCAGGGCTCTGCCTTGTGGCTCACGTGGACCCCATGATGCACCTTCGTGGAGTGGAATATACCCAGGATGCACTGCAGCCGCTTTATGGCGGTGGCTGCAGCTGTGACTGTCACATCCAGCGGCTCACCCCTGAAGGGAAAGGACCTTTCCATGACCTCACGGGTCCCCACCATCCTTCCAGTCAGTCACCCCATCTCCACTCTGAGCCAGGGCCCCTTGGGCTCACTGTCCTTCTAGCCTGTGCCACTGACAGCGTTAGACTTCCTGATGGATCTTGAGATGTTCTTTACGGAGGTGAACGCGACACCAATCCTTGTCAGTTTGTCCTGATGTAGAAGATACGGTAATAGAAAGGTATTCAGTCAGTGTGCTGCCTGCCAGTTCGACAGTCACTGAACCGAACCCCAGATTCACCAAGTGCATGCTCATTGGATTACAGAAACTATATTGGATACAGGACTTCGTCCTAAGATAGATGCCTGTGCTGTTGATATCTCCCCTCAGTGTATCATTTATCTTAATAGTATCTTTTAAGGATCAAACATTTTACTTTTTAATGTTAGCAGCTGTTCAGAATAGTGTTTGGTTTTTGTACTCTACCTAATAATATTTTGCCTACTAAAACATTATGATATCAATGATATTGTTTGATAATTTCCACACTCTGCTGGATCTGCCTTCTTTGGAATGGTCAGTTGGCCAAGTGGTTGTTCTCCATATTTCTTGACACAACTTGGTGAGCACATCTAGGGCAACATCTGTTAGTTGAAATACATCAGTTGGTATACCATCAATTCCTGGGGTCTTACTATTTTTCCAGTTTCTTTCAAGCATCTTGAACTTCTTCCTTCATCACCACCCACTCTTGCTCATGTATCGTTTCATGAAATTCTTCTGTGTCTGCTGATTCCTTTCGGTACAATGACTGTATACTCTTAACCATCTACATGCAAGCAAGATTCTGCTGCAGATTATCCAAAAATGACTGGAACAGCATATCAGCAGAGAAGTGCCAGAAGTCCAGGCTGGGTTTAGAAGGGGTCGTGGTACTAGGGATATTGTAGCTAATGCTAGATGGATCTTGGCTGAAAGCAGGAAATAGCAGAGGAATGTGTATCTGTGTTTTATTGATTATGCAAAGGCATTTCACTCTGTGGATCACAACAAACTGTGGTTGACTCTGAGAAGAATGGGAATCCCAGAAGAATTGATTGTGCTAATATGAAACCTATACTTGTACCAGGAGGCGGTCGTCAGAACAGAGCAAGGAAACACTGCATGGTTCAAAATTGGGAAGGGTGTATGCCAGGGATGTGTCCTATCTCCATACCTTTTCAACCTGTATGCAGAACAGATTATCCAGGAGGCTGGGCTCTATGAGGAGAAGTGTGGCATCAGGTTTGGAGGAAGAATCATCAATAATCTGTGTTATGCAGATGACACAACCTTGCTTGCTGAAACTAAGGTGGACCTGAAGCGCTTGCTGCAGAGGGTCAAGGACTACAGCTTTCAATATGGATTGAGGCTCAGTGTCAAGAAGACAAAGATTCTCACCACTGGACCAATTGGCAGCATCAGGATGGATGGTGAAGAGATAGAGATTGTAAACAGCTTTAGTTTGTTTGGCTCCACAGTCAACACTCTTGGCACCAGCAGCCAGGAAATTAAAAGACGTATTGTGATGGGAAAGTCTGCTCTTAGGGACCGTTCCAAAGTACTGAAGAGCAGTGGTGTCACTCTGGAGAGTAAGATGCACCTGATACAGGCCATGGTCTTTGCATCAGATGGCTGGATAGTGATTAGGGAGCATAGAAGGAGAATTGATGCCTTTGAGCTTTGGTGCTGGAGAAGAGTAGAAAACAAACAGGTTTGTTCTAGAAAGGGTTAAACCAGTCTGCTCCGTGAAGGCAAAGATTCTGAAGCTTCGTCTGACATACTTTGGGCATGTTGCAAAGAGGAACCAGTCCTTGGAGAAAGACGTCATGCTTAGGAGGGTGGAGGGACAGCTCAGGAGAGGAAGACCCTCTTTGAAGTGGATTGACTCAGTGACTGAGGTAATAGGGGTAGGTGTGTCGGTGACAGTGAGATTGTCACAGGATAGAGCAGGGCTTAG